AAAAAGCCGAACATGTCCGGGAAAATTGGGACATGCGGGGCCGGGGGTGCTTGGCCGGGGGCCGGGCCGGCGGTGCTTGGCCGGGCCGGGGGCTGGCCCGGGGCCGGCACCTCAGGGCCCGAGCCGAGCCAGGCTGGAGACGCCGGGGGGGTGGCCAGACTGGGCCGTGCCTCCTCCCCCCACCCCCGCTTACCTGCTGCCTGCTTCAGGCTTCCCGCGAATCAAATGTTCACAGGAAGCAGGGGAGGGGACAGAGTTGGGGCAGGGACTGTGGGGAAGGGGTGGAGTTGGGGCGTTGGCGTTTGGACACTCAAAATATGGTAACCCTACCACTGCCCCTGCTGGCCAGTCTCAGGACACAGACTAAAGGGAAGGGAGGAACACGGAGGCTGCGCCGCCTTTCACTTGTAGGGACGGTCTCGTCTTGTCAGCACGAAACGGGATTTAATTCTTTAACCAGGCCCAGGTGTCCCATTGTCTCGCCCGGGTTTATCGCCGAGGCCGGGACCCGCGCCGAGACCGGGCCGCTGAGCAGAGACAGCGGCGACCCCCGCCCCCGCCAAGCAGCTACGGGCGCAGGGCCCCACAACGAGCCCAGCCCGCGCGGCCGGCCGCTAACGGTCACCCCGCTCCGAACGCGCTCGCGCCCCGGGAAACGGCCCGGCCCCTCACCAGCTCCGCGCTGCCCGGTCTCCCGAGGCCGTCGCGCCGCCCTCACAACCACCGCGCGGAAGAGGCCCCCAGGAGCCAACTGGCGCTTTGCCCGGAGTTGAGTCAGGAGATGCCCCGCCCCCTTCCTGGCGGAGACGCGACCATGCGGGCGGGGTGGTCACTCCGGGTTAGTCTCTGGTTGGCCCAAGCAAGGGCGCTGAACGCCAGGCGGAAGGGAGCGGGGTCTTATCGAGGAGGAGGCAGTGTTCACGCGCGTCGCAGGGGCTGCACGTGGGGTTGCCGCTCGGAGCCCGGCCCGGGCTGTGTGACCCAGGTACAGAGCCAGGCCTGTGCGCGGCAGCCGGGCCCGTGCTCGGGCGGAGCGCAGCAGCAAGTCTGCAATGGGGAGTGGGACGGAGCGGGATGCAGGGGTAGCGGGAGTGGGAAGGGGAGGGTGCCCCCCTCAGGTGGTTGTTCCTTTCCTGCTCTGAGCGCTCGGGAATGCAGCCATCTCCAGGGAAACTTGGGAAACGGGCAAGGGACGTTATGCTAAGGCCCTGCTCTGATGGAAACTGTCATTGGTTCTTTAGAGACAGGGCCGGCTCTAGGTTTTTTGCCGCCCCAAGCAAAAAAAAATTTGGCTGCCCCTTGTCCCAGCCCTGGGCTCCTCGCCGCACCCCCCTGCTGCCCCAACCCTGGGCTCTCCCCCACCACCTGCACCCCCTGCCCTGGGCTCTCCCCTCTGACCCACCCACCCCCCTGCTGTCTCAGCCCTGGGCTCGCACCCCCCTGCTGCCCCAGCCCTGGGCTCCCCCTATCCCCCCACCATTGCCCCCCCACACACACCTCCTGCTGTCCCAGCCCTGGGCTCTTGCCCGCCCGTCCCCGGCCCTGCACCCTCCTTCCACTGCAGCCCTGGGTCACTGGTAACTCGCTCCCAGGGCGGGTCATTCAGCAGGAATTTTGGGTGTGCACAGAACACAGACAGGATTGGTTCCCATATGGTTAAAGAACTGCAGTAAAGTGGAACAATTTTCAGCTTGTGTGATTGGAGGATATCTAGATTTATATTATAAGACTGTCCTACATAAATGAGGAAAAGTTGAGGTGCCTTTATTATTCTTTTGTTCCACTTCTTTTCTTTCTATGGGGAATTTGCCAATGCAATATCACTGTCTTCCTTTTAAACAAACAAACAAACAAAAGGCAATGGCTGTTGAAAATAGCAATTCCAGTCCTAATAACCACTGGGAAGCAGTTCTTGCTCAATTTTATCCTACTTTTTCTACAGCAAGTTACAGTGGATCAGTATATTTGATTTGGGAGAAATGAAGTAACAGCCACCCAAACTGAGCTTGAGCACTCCTGAATTTTGAGGTGTTCAAATCTGGAAGGCAGGTGCTGGGGGGGTGGGGGAGCTGTGGCTCCGCAGGGGAGCACGGCAGCATGTATGCAGCAGCGTGTCTGGCACTGCGCGAAGCCAGACATGCTGGTCTGAGTGGCACGGTGAAGGGGTAGGGGGGTTCAAGGGGAGCAGTCAAGGGACAGGGAGAAGGGGAGGTTCGGGGGGGCAGTCAGGGGACAGGCAGCAGTTGGATAGGCATAGGAGTCTCGGGTTTCAGGGGACAGGTAGGGGCTGGGTTCCTAGGGGGGAAGTTGCGGGGGGTCTCCAGAAGGGGGCAGTTGAGGACAAGGAGAAGGGAGGCTTAGATAGGGGGTGGGGTCCCGGGAGGGGGCAATCAGGGGACAAGGACCAGTGGGGCTTAGATAGGGGGTGGGATCCTGGGGGGCAGTTGGGGTAGGGGTCCCAGGAGGGGGTGATCAGGGGACAGGGAGCAGAGGGGTTGGATGGGTTGGGGTTTCTGTGGGGGGCAGTCGGAGGGAGTGGATGAGGGTAGCCCCACTCTGTCCCCCCTCCCTGTGGAGTGTCCTATTTTTTGAATGTTAAAATATGGAATCCCTACTCACAGTGCAGCTCTCCATTCAAAGCGGCCTGCAGCATGAGGTCTCAGCTTCCGCACTCTCCCCCTCTTTCCTGTTGGTAGTAGCCAAGGGAATGCTGGGAAATGTAGTTCTTTCCCTGCTCCAGGGCTGGCTCTATAGGCAGGGAGCTAACCAAGGAACTACAGCTCCCAGGGCCGCCTGTTGGTTCTCAACTCCCATGCTGGATCGCTGCCGCCCCTGCATATGGGCTGCCCCAAGCATGTGCTTGCTTTGCTAGTGCCTAGAGCCGCCCCTGTTTAGAGAGAGATCGAATGGTTAAAACAAGATTACAGAAAGAATAATTCGTGTCTAACAATGCCTTAAAACCTAAAAATAACAAAATCTAGTAGCTTTCTTACAATTTTACTTATTTAGCAATGGAGACTGGTCCTCTGTGGCTCACAGGCAATCGTCTCAGATGCTAAACACCAGTTAGCAAATAGCTTCTCTTCTTCAAACGCTGCCAGACCTAGCACTTCCTCCTGGGAGTAGTTCTGTAGCATTCCATGGGAGTAGATCGGATAGCAATCCTGCTTAACTGTTGCTCTCCTCCTTTTATAGCCTTTTACCCCTGTCCAAAGGGAATGCAAAATGCTGCCAAATCAGAAGGAGGGAATTTTGCACACCCATTGCACAAGTATAAACAAATATAGGACCGTGTATAGTTGTGGATAAGGGTTTTTGTGTCCTTTATTAGATTATCATGCACGACTAGAGTGTTTCTCTAGGTGCAGAGAAGTGTACCTTTAGACATAGCTGTAACATGGCCTTTATGGGAAAGATATCTGTACCTTGGGACTGAGAGGGTCTGATTCTTTGCTGTTGTAAATAAGTACACCTTTGCTGAGGCCTCTTAACTCTTTTTTTTTTCATTATGAACAGTTAGACTGACTTTCAAAGGTGTTAATCCTAATGTTATAAAATAGGAGGAAAGGGGACTGATTCAAAGACCTGCTTGAAGTTTCACACAGAGTAATATATTTGTATTATTTGTTATTGTGTTTTTATAGTAACAACCGGTTTTGGGCGAGGTGCTTTCCAAACAGGAAAAAAAGGAATGGTCCTTTTTCCAAGGAACTCTCAGTCTAAGGACAGATTGACAGGCAGAGAAATAGGCAGAAGTTTGGGGAAATGTGAATGACATACTATTCTTTAATTTTAGTTAATGTGCATGCCAAGTAGATTCCTTACTGACTTTGCAGGGGGGGCAATAAAAATACTTCTCTGAAACTTCCTTTTGATTACATGCTAGTTTGTTAACTCAAAGCAGAGTCAGTGTAACTATGCAAATTAATTTGGTTGAATATGGATGGTAGAAAGAGGCAAAAAAGAATCCTTTAAAAAGTGGAAGTTTAAATCCTAGTGAGGAAAATAGAAAGGAGCATAAACTGGCAAATTAAGTGTAAAAATATAATTAGGAAGACCAAAAAAGAATTGGAAGAACAGCTAGCCAAAGACTCAAAGTAATAGCAAAAAAAAAAAAAAAAAGTAAGTACATCAGAAGCAGGAAGCCTGCTAAACAACCAGTTGGGCCACTGTACAATTGAGATGTTAAAGGAGCACTAAGGGACGATAAAGCCATTGCGGAGAAACTAAATGAATTCTTTGCTGGGGATGTGAGGGAGATTTCCCAAACCCGAGCCTTTCTTTTTAAGTGACAAATCTGATGAAAGTGTCCCAGATTGAGGTGTCATTAGAGAAGCTTTTGGAACAAATTGATAAACTAAACAGTAATAAGTCACCAGCACCAGATGGTATTCACCCAAAAGTTCTGAAGGAACTCAAATGTGAAATTGCAGAACTACTAACTGTAGTCTGTAACCTATCATTTAAATCAGCTTCTGTACCAAATGATTGGAGCAGGGGTCGGCAACCTCTGGCACACAGCTCGCCAGGGTAAGCACCCTGGCGGGCCGGGCCAGTTTGTTTACCTGCCACGTCTGCAGGTTCAGCCGATCGCAGCTCCCACTGGCCGCAATTCGCCACTCCAGGCCAATGGGGGCTGCGGGAAGCGGTGCAGGCCGAGGAATGTCCCATTGGCCTGGAGCGGCGAACCGCGGCCAGTGGGAGCTGCAATCGGCCGAACCTGCGGACGCAGCAGGTAAACAAACTGGCCCGGCTTGCCAGGGTGCTTACCTTGGAGAGCCACGTGCCAAAGGTTGTCGATCCCTGGACTGGAGGATAGCTAATGTGATGCCAATTTTTAAAAAGGGCTCCAGAGATGCTCCGAGCAATTACAGGCCGGTAAGCCTGACTTCAGTACCAGGCAAACTGGTTGAAAGTATAGTAAAGAACAAAATTGTCAGACACATAGATTAACATAATCTGTTGGGGAAGAATCAACATGGTTTTTGTAAAAGGAAATCATGCCTCACCAAATCTACTAGAATTCTTTGAGGGCCGGGGGGTCAACAAACACGTGAACAAGGGGCGGGGGTTGGCTCTAGCTTTTTTGCTGCCCCAAGCACCAACCCGCCGAAGTGCAAAAAAAAAAAAGCCAGCTGGAGCATGGAAACAAAACAAACACAAAAAAACTGCTTGAAATGTGCTGCGCCAGGAATTGCCAGAGTGCTGCCCCTTGAGATGTGCCGCCCCAGGCACATGCTTCCTTTGCTGGAGCCAGCCCTGACAAGGGGTATCCAGTGGATATAGTGTACTTAGATTTTCAGAAAGCCCCTTTGACAAGGTCCCTCACCAAAGACTCTTAAGCAAAGTAAGCTGTCATGGGATAAGAGGGAAGGTCCTCTCATGGATCAGGAACTGGTTACAAGACAGGAAACAAAGGGTAGGAATAAATGGTTAGTTTTCAGAATTATATAATATCAGGGTTGGAAGGGACCTCAGGAGGTCATCTAGTCCAACCCCCTGCTTAAAGCAGAGCCAATCCTCAGACAGATTTTTGCCCCT